TGTGCCTCGCGCCCTTTCGTAGGACGCCGGAGAAGGACCGGGAGCTGTCACCTGCCCTATCTTTGTGCGAACACGAATGGCTGTGGGTGTGTTCGTCCGCGATGACGGGGATAAGGCGACTGAAGACGGTGAGCGGCTGTGCGGTACAGAAGTGCTGGGATGTTCCTGATGCTGTCGACGCTGGAAATGATTGTATTATTTTTGCTGAAACTCCATTCGCTCCTTTGATCTGCTGACTTCTTCTGAATGACACATTGAACCGTTGGAAAGAGCGATAGAGCCCTTGAGATAATTTTCTAGTTAGTCGGGTCGTGTCAGCGTTGCGTGGCGCTCTAGCGCGACGGCGGTCCCCTTTCCACCACCCAAACGCCAGAAGCCGCCACGACCGATGGAAATCTGAGTGGCGCTGAGTCAAAACACAACAACATTGACACGCCCCGACTGACTTAGCTGATAACGACCATATTTTGCAATAGGGCATCTTACTTCTGGTTATCTATTAGTTTCTGTGGCCCGGCTCGGGTGGTTCTAGATATGTTCAAATCAGATTTGCGATCACAATGATAAAGGCACCTGGTTATGTTGACGTGAGCTCGCCTCCTTGTGTTTAGAGCTGTGGCTTCTTTCTGACTGATGAACAGACGCTGGTGGACTGGACATATCGTGAACAGAACCATAGGGAAGAGACTGAAAGCTGCGTTTAAACCACGCAGCCACACAAGCACACAAGGTATTCAAGCAAAGCGAAGGTCGTGCATTGTGGTGTAGGTGTACGGAAATGGGAGAGCCGGTGGAATAGTGAGTACTCAAGGGCTGAAGCTCGTATGCTACGTATGGAGTAGCAATCGTGCGCTAGCAATCTGTCGGGAGAAAACTCGGTATTTGAACAGTTTTTTTAGCATTTTGAAATTGCATGTATAATTCAAATTCTCCGGAAGCATTTCTACGGCATTCACTGTACGTCCTTATAGAGACAACGCAACGGCGATGCTACAATGCTATGGATCGCCGGGCAATGGAAATCATCCCGGGGTCAATTGCCTACTCTGGAATAGTACCAGAACCTTTTCCTTCATTTTTTCTCTAATATCTTTCTCCCTGGCTAATTATTCGTGATGATGACATAGAAGCATCTTATTTATTGAGCTAGGTATCCTAGGCATGACTTCACCTGAAGAGAGGAACACGCCCAGAGTTCAGACGGCCAGGCATACGTCAGATTGGCGAAAAAGTTCGTAGAGAACGACGAACTCCAAAGTTTTGTGACAGGATTCCCGAGAAGCTACCAGAAAACCCAGGACCACTGTGGTCTCCAGGGGGGATGACTTGAACTTTTTCATGCAAAGTTCCGAATCTATTCAAGAATGCCGCTTCGCCGGTAAGGGATGGGAGGAAGCCTCCTTAACCTCCTCTGAGGAATGAAGTCGACAACCTCGCTAGAAATGTCCCACGAGCGCATAAGACCCTTATGGGACAAAACGCCGTCCAGACAGTAGGCTGGTTGTAGAAAAATTGTGGTGTATTCAGGGCACGTCGCACGTTGGGACCCCCAGCGAGCATGAGGGGAAGTCGCATTCGGTCGCAGGGGTGAGGTCGCATTTGCCTCCGAGCAAAACGTCTTTGACCAAGTATTTCTCTAGGATTTTTCCATTCCACGTGTTCTACAGCCCCATCTTCCCCCCCCTTGTCTGCTCGAAGGGAGTTCTTGAGGAAGAACTGAAGAATTTCCTGCAAAAGTGCAAGGGGAGGGGGCCCTACCAGAGGAGGAAATTCTTATGGAAGGAAGTACAACGGGCATACTCTGGTTTTTCCTTTAGATTAATAGCATTTCACACGTTTTCAGTTAATCAACCTGATCGATTTCGCGCCAGATGTAACGCGAGTGCCCTAAGCGTATTAACTGGGCGTATGGCTCATTCTTACCAACAGGGCTACTTTGTGCCCGGCGCCATGGACGAACGCGTTCCGCATTGTTTAAATGCACGACATGAGACAGAATTGGTCAGCTACAGGAGAAGAAACCAAATCCCTTGCATACCCTATGTTTCTCTCCCATGTAGTGAAAGGAAATGCCAATGTCCACTATAGTAGATGAAGCGCCCCTTCACTAGGGACATTGCTATCTTCCTTGATGAGTTGGGTAAGTAGAAAGGTTTTAGCAAATGAAGTGAAGGAACTCACGCTGTCAACGCTATACGATCGTTGAGCGCTCTCTTGCCTTCGTTGGAGGTTCTGAACTGATCCTTGGAAATTTGACAGTCGTCGTTTAACGTCGATATTGGTCGGCACATCTTTACCAACAATAGTCGACGAGTGCGGAGGTAGCTCGTAGATTTTCTCCCAGTCATTTATGCCTTAACTTGCCATTCTATCAGATACGTCTATCTTGCTGCAACCCTTCTGCTTCCACACTTGATTAGAGAGTAGGTTCTCACCCTGTTCAGGTCGTCTCCCAGCACTTCTTCGACCGTTTCTTTCTGCTGCCTGAGGTGGCGCGTCTCGATAACCTGGAATACAAGCCGATGATTAGACGATTCTCAAAACGGGACTCAAAGAACATGCCTCGTTCAAGTTTGTGATAGTTCCGCTGATGAATCACTTCCATTTGCTCCTGCCCTCCATTGTCCACTGGGGCCAGAAGGCCCTGGGCTGATGCTGGTCGACGTTTCACAACCTTCACCGCGTTAGGAGCATGGGGGTAAAAACCTCCGCTGGGCGGTTTCCTTTCCTTTCGGAACGCTGGCTTTGGTCGATGACTCCCGTCCGGTGATGGCTAAAATCAGAAATTATGCTTGCGCTCGTGAATCAAACTATCTAGCCCAAAACCTCTCAGAT